GGACAGGTTGACTTTCTTGCGAAAGGTGAATGCAGCTGGTGACTAGATGTTGAAGCCAGTGCTCATTTACCATTAAAACCATAGGGTCCTTAAGAATTATGCTGTCTACTCTGCTTGTGCTTATAGAATAGTAAAGCCTACATACAGATAACAGTATTTCGGTTTACAGCATGGCTTCCTGAATATTTTAAGCCCACTGTTTAGACCTACTGCTTAGGAAAAAAAGATAGTTTTCAAAATATTACTGCTCATTGACAATACATACACCTGGTCACCCAAGAGCTCTGATGGAGATGTGCCTAAAGATTAATGCTGTTTTCATGCCTGCTAACACAACATCCATTCTGCAGCCCATGGATCAAGGAGTAGTTTTGACATTCAAATATTATTATTTAAGAAATATACTTTATAAGGCTATAGCTACCATAGATGGTAATTCCTCTGATTGATCTAGGCAAAGTACATTGAAAACTTTCCGGAAGGGATTCACCATTGTAGATGTCACTAAGAACATTTGTGAATCATGGGAGGAGGTCAAAATATAAATGTTAACAGGAGTTTTGAAGAAGTTGATTTGAGCCCTCATGGATAACTGAAGAGCTCAAGACTTCAGCATAAAAAATATCTGCAGATATGATAGAAATAGCAAGAGAACTAGAATTAGAAGTAAAGCCTGAAGATGTTACTGAATTCCTTCAACCTCATGATAAAACTTGAACAGATGAGGAGTTTCTTCTTAGAGATGAGCTAAGAAAGTGGTTTCCTGGCCAGGTGTAGTGGCTCATGCCTGTAATCCCAGCACTTTGGGATGCCAAGGCAGGCAGATTACGAGGCCAAGAGATCAAGACCATCCTAGCCAACATGGTGAAACCCCATCTCTACTAAAAATACAAAAATTAACTGCGCATGGTGGTGCATGCCTGTAGTTCCAGCTACTATGGAGTCTGAGGCAGGAGAACTGCTTGAACCCAGGAGGTGGAGGTTGCAGTGAGCCAAGATCACACCACTGCACTCCAGTCTAGTGACAGAGTGAGACTCTATCTCGAGGAAAAAAACAGTGGTTCCTTGAGATGGAATCTAGCCCTGGTGGAGCTCCTGTGAACATTGTTGAAATGACAACAAAGGATTTAGAATATTACATAAACTTAGTTGATAAAGCAGCACCAGGATTTGAAAGGATTGACTCCAATTTTTAAAGACGTTTTACTCTGGGTAAAATTCTATCAAAACAACATTGCATGCTATAGAAAAATCTTTCATGAAGGGAAGAGTCAATCAACATGGAAAACTTCATATTCTTCTTTTAAAATGTTTCAACAGCCACTTCAACCTTCAGCAACCACTATCCTGATCAATCAGCCACCATCGACATAGAGGCAAGAGCCTCCACCCACAATATTACCACCAATTGAAGGCTTAGATGATTGTTAGCATTTTTTTAAAATAAAGTATTTTTAAATTACATTGTTTTGTTAGACATAACATTGCACATTTAATGGACTGTGGTATAGTGTAACCGTACTTTTATATGAACTGGGAAACCAACAAAAATGTATGACTCACTTTATGGTAAAATTTACTTTATTGTGGTGGTGTGGAACTGAATCCTCAACATCTCTGAGGTATGCCTGTATTCCCTCATTGAATCTTTGCAGCAATCCTATGAAATAGGTGTTATTATTAACCCCACTGACAACTGAAAAAAAAAAACCCAGGCCAGAGAAAGTAAAAGACTTGTGCAAAACCACACAGCCAATAAATGACAAAGCCAAAGTTTTAATCCTGGCAGCTAGATCCTTTGGCCCATGAATTTGTCTCACCATCAGAGGGTTGGGCTCATGAATGGGACAATGTAATGAAGCACCCACTCCAGTGCTTGGTATTTAGTTATTATTCACTCACCGGTGGCTGATGTTGTTGCTGTTGCTGCTGCTGCTGCTGCTGCTGCTGCTGCTGCTGCTGCTATTGCCATTTTTATTGCTGCTGTTCTTGCTGCTGTCCTTGCTGCTGTTGCTGTTGTCATTATTGTTACTGCTGCTCTTGTTTTTGCTGTTGTTGTTGCTATTGCACTTGTTCCTATTGCTGTTGCTGTTGTTTCTGCTGTTGCTGCTGCTGTTGTAATTTTTGCTGTTATTGCTACTGCTGCTACTGTTGCTGCTGTTGTTACTGGTGGTGTTTGTTCTGCTGATGTTGCTGCTGCTGTGACTGCTGCTGCTTCTGTTGCCACTGCTGTGGCTATTGTTGCTGCTGGTGCTGTTGTTGATTGTGATGCTGTTGCTATTGTTGCTGATGCTTCCATTGTTATTGCTACTGCTGTTATTGCTACTACTGCTACTGCTGCTGTTACTATTGTTGCCTCTGATAGTGTTGTGGCTGCTGCTATTGCCACTACCGTTACTGTTGCTGCTGCTACTATTGCTGCTGTTGTTTTTTTCACTGCTGTTGCTGCTTTTGTCATTGTTGCAGCTACTGTTGTTGCTGCTCTTGCTGCTGCTGCTGCTCTTGCTGATGTTGTTGCTGCTTTTGCTGACACTGCTGTTGCTGCTGTTACAATTATTGCTGCTGCTATTATTGCTGATGTTGCTGTTGTTGCTTTTGTTACTGTTGCAGCTACTGTCGTTGCCCCTCTTGTTGCTGCTGCTACTATTTGTTGCTTTTGTTATTGTTGCTGCTGCTACTGTTGCTGAATTGTTGTTGCTGCTGCTACTGCTATTGTTGCTGCTTCTGTTGTTATTGCTGTTGTTGATTATGATGCTGTTGCTATTGCTGTTGCTGCTGCTGCTATTGCTGAAATTGTTGCTGCTATTGCTGTTAATGCTGTTGGCATTGCTACTACTATGGCTGCTGCTGCTGCTGTTGTTGCCACTATTGCTACAACTGCTGCTATTGTTGCAACTGCTGATGTCGCTACTACTGTTACTATCATGGTTGCTACTACTATTGCTGCTATTTTTACTTTCGTTGTTGCTGCTGCTATTGTTGTTGCTTCTGTTGTTATTGCCATTGTTGATTATGATGCTGTTACTAGTGCTGTCACTGCTGCTACTGTTGCTGATGTTGTTGTTGCTACTGTTGCCGACGTTGTTGTTGCTACTGTTGCCGATGTTGTCATTGCTGCTATTGTTACTGCTGTTGCTTCTGTTGCTGTTATGATTGCTGTTGCTATTGCTGTTGTTTCTATTGTTGCTTTTATTGTTGTTGCTGCTCTTGCTGCTGTTGTTGCTGCTATTGTAATTATTGCTGCTGCTGCTGCTGTTATTACTGCTATTTCTGTTGCTACTGATGCTGTTGCTGTTGCTGTGGCTATTGTTGCTGTTAATTGTGATGCTATTGCTGTTGGTGATGTTTCTGTTGCTATTGCTGTTACTGTTGTTGATGCTGTTGCTATTGTTGCTTTTGTTATTGTTGCTCTTGCTGCTGATGCTGCTACTGCTACTGTTGCTGTTGTTGTTGCTGATGCTGCTACTGTCGCTATTGCTGTTGCTGCTACTGTTACTCTTGCTACTGCTGCTACTATTGCTTCTGGTGTTCCTGCTACTGTTTTTGCTGCTATTATAATTATTGCTGCTGCTATTGCTGCTATTACTGCTGCTACTTCTGTTGCTGTTACTTCTGCTGTTATTGCTGCTACCTCTGCTGTCACTACTGCTGCTGTTGCTATATCTGTGGCTATTGTTGCTGCTGTTCTTGCTCTTAATTGTGATGCTGTTGCTTCTGTGGCTATTGTTGCTGCTGTTGTTGCTATTGTTGCTTTTGTTATTGTTACCATTGCTGTTGTTTTTGTTATTGTTGCTGATGCTATTGCTATTGCTGTTGCTGCTGATGTTGTTACTGTTGCTATTGCTATTGCTGATACTATTGTTGCTGCTGCTGTCATTGATGTGGTTACTGTTGCTATTACTGTTACTACTGATGCTGCTGCTGCTGATGATGGTATTACTGTTGCCATACCTGTTGCTGCTACTGTTACTGTTGCTGTTGCTATTACTATTGTTGCTGCTGTTGCTTTTGTTGTTGTTACTGCTGTTGTTGTTGCTCATGCTTCTACTATTGCTATTACTGTTGCTGCTGTTGTTACTGTTGTTGCTGCTGTTGTTGCTACTGTTGCTGCTGTTGTTCCTGCTACTGTTGTTGCTTTTGTTGTTCCTGTTGCTGCTTCTATTGCTGCTATTACTACTGTTGTTGATTTTGCTGCTGCAGTTGCTATTGTTGTTGGCATAGAGACCACAGGAGCTCAACTGACTTGATCGTACCCCTTCATCTGGAGCTTTAGAGAATTCCAAAACCATAGGGTGATTTGGGTAAGATTCTGCCATCCCTCGTCTTAGACTGGATTGGTCCAGAAATTGAGACAAGACTAACCAACTCCAGGTGGGGGAAATTCTGTGAGGTGCTGGGTGGCTGGGAGCAGCCCACACCAGATTTAATATTGCTATAAACAGGAACAGGTTCAAAGGACACAGCTGGGAACAACAAAATGAAGAAAGCAGCATTTCTGCAATGAATATCAGCAATGTCCTGTCATTCACAAAGACAAGATGATTAACTTGCAATTTAAACAAATGTTTTAATTGCAATCTTCATTTATCGAGCTGTTGAAAAGTAAATATACTTTGAGAAAATAATTTTTCAAATTCTATTTGTAGGACTAATGATAACAATGTCTAAATTTTGCAGTCTTCGTCATTAACTGATATAAGATTTGTTTAGTCTTTATCCACATTCTTTATTAGAGAGAAAGGTGAACACCCTAAGAAGGATCTTATTTAGGCCAGTTCCAATTCAATAAGAGAATTTTAGAAACAACCTTGTCCACATGAGCTATCAACAAGTTCTGTCTATTTTCTTTGTGAGAACCACCACTTAGAACACATTGCAAGACTAATTCTGAACAAAGCTTAACATCATTTGTTGTTTTTCTTATTTTTACCCACTTTATTTTGGTTTTCAGCCTCCTCATGATTTCTTTCTCCCCTCCCCATTTTTATTTCTTATTGCAGACCAAGAAAAAATAAAGAAAAGATGATTTACCTCCAAGTTCAGGAAGTAGACATTCCATTGAACTAAGAAGAGAGATCGTCACTCCTGCTGTTACTTCACTTTGATGACAGCAAGACCAAAAGCAGAAATTTCTGCACTCATCTCAAAGCCCATACAACTCAACCCAACTTACCCTTAAGCCCTGTCAACCTAGATCTATAGCCAGTGGAGGCTATTGTACTTCTGTGGAAAAGTATACCTATGGGACCAGATTCTGCCAAGTTCTTCCAGCTCACTCTATTCTCAGCATTCCTGGGACATTGGACATTGGTTTTCCAGAGGGTTCTTTTTTTCCATCTTTGTATTTTTTTTTATTTGATTCTTTTCTCTGCAATGCTATCTAACCAGAATACATAGGGGAACTGTGGGCCAGGGAGATCAAAATAGAAAAAAAATCTGAAAAACAGTAAAGTTGGAAGAAAATAATTGCATCTATTTTCTTAACGAAATAAAACATCCAAAACAATATAAAGTTGTCCAGAATGTATGTCAAGAACCTTAGATAGCCCTTTCAGTAACACAGGTGAAGACATTTTTAAAAATACATTGATTGTCATCTGGATTAGACTTAAAGTGAATCTCAAATAAAAGAATCAGGAATACAAGTTGAGTAATCATGAAGTCCTTCCATATTTAGACTGGATAAGCATAAACGTGTGTTTTCTACAAAAGATCTTGAGAAGAGTTCAGTAAAAAATGTTGTTAACATTATAAAACAATTATCATTCTTTTATTCTGGGAAAAATGTCCCAATTTGTAGATTTTAAAATACATGTTAATATTTCATAAAAGTAATATTATAAATACATTTTAAAAGCTAAATATTATAAGGCTTATAATGAAAAACAAAATTTTCTTGCCCTATTTCACCTCTAGCAATTCCTCAGAGAAATTTTCAACTATTTTAGGTGAATTTTCCCCTGAGATTTCTCTCCATACATCTAAATAACTTCTTTATATTGGCATTGCTTTATTTTTCATTTAAAATATTATCTGTATGGCTTTTAATATAAAACATAAAAATGTAGCTCTCTTCATCTCTCTCTTTTCCCAACACACAGTTTTTCTGTTCCTTTTGAACTTCATCACATTTTTATTAAATCAAATAAAGTGAATCGGTACCAGTGTCAACGAAAATTATCGAACTCTATAAAATATCTGAAGAGATTATTCTGAGCCAAATATGAGTGACCATGGCCCATGACACAGCACTCAGGAGGTCCTGAGAATATGTGCCCACAGTAATCGGGGTGTAGCTTGGTTTTATACATTTTAGAGAGGGGTGAGACATCAATCAAATACACTTAAGGAATATATTGGTTTGGTCCAGAAAGGCAGGACAACTCAAAGTGAGGAAGACCGGGGGGTGGCGATGCTTCCAGCCTATAGATGAAGTTAAACATTTTCTGGTTGATAATTGGTTGGGTTTGTATAAATACCTGGGATTGATAGAAAGGGAATGTTCAGATTAAGATAAAGATTGTGAAAATGAAAGTTCTTCTGAAGTCTTATAGTGGCTGCCCTTAGATACAATAGATGACAAATGTTTCCTGTTCATATCTTGGTTAATCTCTTTAGGATTGGGAGGGTCTGAAAGAAAAATATCTAGCTATGCTAATAGAGATTGTTTACAGATGCAAATTTACCTCCTCAAAGAAGTGCTTTGCAGGCCCATTTCAAAATATGGCAAAGAAACATGTTTTGGGGTAAAACATTTTTATTTTCTTCCTTTCTTTGTAATGTTATTCCAGAGTCAGGTTGGAAAGTAAGTCATGATAGATAGGGTTAAATAAAACCCATCTGGTGAAAATTTATGATTTGTAGGGCATAACTCCCCTGGCCCCATAGATAGGTATTTGGGTAAGATTAAAAAAAAAAAAATCATAGTTTAGCCCTCACCAGGTAGAGGAGTGCTACTGTAAAGATACCTGAAAATGTGGAAGCAACTGTGTAACTAGGTAACAGGCAGAGATTGGAATCGTTTGGAGGGATCAGAAGAAGACAGGAAGATGTGGGACATGTTGGAACTTGCTAGTTACTTGTTGAATGGCTTTGACGAAACTATTGATAGTGATATGGGCAATGAAGTCCAGACTTAGGTGGTCTCAGATGGAGATGAGAAACTTGGGAACTGGAGCAGAGGTGACTCTTGTTATGCTTTAGCAAAGAGACTGGTGGTGTTTTGCCCGTGCCATAGAGTTCTGTGGAACTTTGAGCTTGAGAGAGATGATTTGGTGCATCAGATGAAAGAAATTTCAAAGCAGCAAAGCATTCAAGAAGTGACTTGGGTGCTGCTGAAAGCATTCAGTTTTATTTATTCACAAAGATATCGCTTGGAATTGGAACTTATGTTTAAAAGTGAAGCAGAGCATAAAAGTTAGGAAAATTTGCAGCCTGATGATGCAATATAAAAGAAAAACTTATTTTATGAGGATAAATCCAAGCCACTGTGGATATTTGCATAAGTAACTAAGAACCACATGTTAATCCCCAAGACAATTAGGAAAACATCTCTAGGGGATGTCAGAGACCTTTGTGGCAGCCCCTCCCATAAAGGGCCTGGAGTAATAGGAGGAAAAAATGGTTTCATGAGCCAGGTTCAGGGGCCCCCTATTCTGTGCAGCCTAGGGACTTGGTGCCCTGCATGCCAGCCACTCCAGCTGTGGCTAAAATGAGCCAAGATATAGCTCAGTCCATGGCTTCAGAGGGTGCAAGCCCCCATTCTTGGCAGCTTTCATTTAGTGTTGAGCCTGCAGGTGACCAGAAGTCAAGAATTGAGGCCTGGGAACCTCCACCTAGATTTCAGAGGATGTATGAAAATGCCTGGATGTCCAGGTAGAAGTTGCTACAGGGGTGGGGCCTTCATGGAGAATCTCTGCTAGGGCAGTGTGGAAGTGGAATATGGAGTTGGAGCCACCACAGAGTACCCACTGGGGCACTGCCTAGTGGAACCATGAGAAGAGGGTCATTGTCCTCCAGACCCCGGAATAGTAGATCCACCAACAGCTTGCATCATATGCCTAGAAAAGCTGTAGATACTCAATACCAGCCTGTGGAAGTAGGAGGGAGGCAGGCTGTACCCAGCAAAGCCACAGAGGTGGAACTGCTCAAGGCTGTGGGAGCCCACCTCTTGTATCACCATGAAAGTGACACATGGAGTCAAAGGTAATTATTTCAGAACTTTAATACTTTAAAAAAAAAAAAAAAGACTGCTCCACTGGATTTTGACTTGCATGGGGCCTGTAGCCCCTTTGCTTTTGGCCAATTTCTCTCATTGGGAATGGGTATATTTACCCAATGCCTGTACCCCCTTGTATCTAGGAAGTAGCTTACTTGCTTTTGATTTTACAGGTTCATAGGAGGAAGGCACTTGCCTTGTCTCAGATAAGACTTTGGACTGTGGAGTTTTTAGTTAATTCTGTAATGAGTTAAGACTTTAGGGGACTGTTGGGAAGGCATGATTGTTTTTGAAATATGAGGACACGAGATTTGGGAGGGACCAGGGGTGAAATGACATGGTTTGGCTCTGGTATTCCCACCCAAATCTCACCTCGAATTGTAATAATTCCCATGTATCAAGGGTAGGGTCAGGTGGAGATAATTGAATCATGGGGGCAGTTTCCACCATACTGTTCTCATGGTGGTGAATAAGTCTCATGAGATCTGATGATTTTATAAATGAGAGTTCCTGTGCACAAGCTCTCGTGGCTACTGCCATGTAAGATGTGTCTTTGCTCCTCCTTGCCTTCTGCCATGATTGTGAGGCCTCCTCATCCATGTACAGCTGTGACTACATTAAACCTCTTTCTTTTATAAATTACCCAGTCTCAGATATGTCTTTATTAGCAGTGTGAAAACAGACTAATACATCCCAAGCCCCGTGAACCTCTTTTGCCAAAAGATGCAACCTCTCTTTTCCTTTCTGAGAGAAACAAGCTTCCCTTACTTGAACACTTGCAATCATCTCACCTGAGGTAACTGCCTTGAGAAGGAATGCTGGCACTTCTTAAGACCTCTCCCGCCCATTATTGTCCCCAGATATGTCTAGAGTAGATTCCCATGTACCTCTCAAGAGAAGCCAAAGATTCCTAGACTGGAATTCCAGTCTAGGAAAGAGATAGCTTAACTATAAAAAGAATTTCAAGATTTTTAAACTTACATTGGCAGAAGTCAGGGGGGAGATTTAGGAACAAATTGTAATAATGCTAGACCCAGGAGGGAGAACATAATGTTGGAGCAAGTCAAATTTATTGATATGAGTTCCCTAATGCAAGATTCTAGATTTAATGTGCTAGCTGAACCATTGGCCACTAGATCCAGTAGTTTGCAGACCAACAGCTTTAGAAAAGATATAAGGGAATGTTTGCATAATTTATAATAAGGAAAGACTTCTTAGTTAAGAACAAAATCCAGGAGACTTAAAAGACTGACCCATTTCACTACACAAAACAAGACTAAATCAAATGAAGCTAGGTGAGTAACACACATGCACCGTCATACACACGAAAAACAAATGTCATAGATGAGTGACAGATTTGGAAATACATTTCAGCATATAAAAAATATCCAAAGGACTATTATCTAATACAAATAAGGAGCTACTAAAAATCAATAAGAAAAAGACAGCAAGGGAAAAAATTATACAAGAATACAAATATTTATAGCAGAAAACATAAAAATGGTCAATTAAGTTATGAGAAAGATGTGTATCCTCATTGTTAATCAGAAAAATACAAATTAAAATAACAATGAAATAGTTTTCACTCATCAGACTAATTTTTAAAATTAATAAAATTGAAAATATTGGGTGCGGACAAGGGTGCAAATAAGCTTTCATAATTGCTGGTAGAAGTATTGATTGATACATTCCTTTAAGAAGGCATTTTGGCAGTGTCCGTTATTATTACAAATGGGCATTTCTGTGACCCAACAATTTTGCTCCTATGTATCTATCTTAGAAAAACACAATAGTAAACACAGAGGCATTTCAGAGTTATTCATTGTTTCATTTACTGATGACAGCAAAAATTAGAAATAACCAAAGTATAAATATGAGGAATGCTTAACATAATGGTATATTCACTCCTTAGTAAAAGAAGAATGAAAAAGCTTTATAGATGCTCCATAGAAAGACCTCCAAGACAAAAGGCAAAGGCAGGTTTTAGAATGACAGTGTGGGAAAGAAAGGATGCACACTCACTGATGGCCTATGAAGAGGGGGCCTGGGACTGGGCAGTGGGCAAAGAGACATATCAGATTTTCCTGTAATTTTTGCACTCTTATGTTTTCATGTGCATATTTATGTCATATGTTCATGTTACTTTAAAACATAAATTATTAACTCTGGAAAATAATGTGGTAGTTTCTCAAAAAAACTAAATATGCTCTTATCATATGACCTACCAGTTGCACTCCTGAGCATTCATCCCAGTAATGAAAACATGTCCACACAAATCCTAGACACAATTGTTCACAGCAGTTTTATCTGTAATAGTTAAAAACTGGAAATGACCAAAATGATTCTCTATAGGTGAACGGTTTAACAAAGTGTTGTATATCCATGCCAAGCAATACTGCTTATCAAGAAAAAAGAACAAACTATCAATGCACACACAACTAGAATGGATCTCAAGGGCATTATGCTGAGCGATAAAAGCCAGTCTGGAAAGACCATTTTTGAGATAGAAAACAGATTGGTGGCTGATTATGGT